GGGCGTACACCGGGATTACAAGCGCTGTACATGGGGCGGACAACGTAGGTTACATCGGGCGTACACCGGGATTACAAGCGCTGTACATGGGGCGGACAACGTAGGTTACATCGGGCGTACACCGGGATTACAAGCGTTGTATATGGGGCGGACAACAGAGTTTACATCGGGATTACATGGGGCTTACACGCGCTGTACATGGTGCGGACAGCAGAGTTTACATGGGGATTACATGGGGCTTATACGCGCGGTACATGGGGTGGACAGCGGAGTTTACATCGGGATTACATGGGGCTTACAATGACGGGTCGGGTCCGCGGGTCACGCACGGTAAAAAGTATATTTTTATAGCGGTGGGACCGACTGAGCCGACGTGTCTTCCGTTTATTTGCTATCGCACGCAGCGCTCCGTGCGTCTTATGTACCCAAATTTTTTCCCATTAGCGGACATGCTATGATTGGTAAAAAGAAAATAAATTAAACTAAGAAAAAATTATATATAATATATATGCATATATACATAAATACACACATATTTAATACATAAATTTCAAATTGTTATTGTTATACGCCAACAAATTTTCATCATCAAAGACGAATCACGAGGCATAATTTGAATCTCGAAGTAATCTTTTGAGCAAGAAACATTCAAACTTCAATTAGGAGTCATCCAGAGCTCTCGCTTCTGCAAATTTATAGTCAAACAAAATTGATCGATTAGATAAACTGAATGATATCAAAATTAGTCAAATTGGAGTCAAATCAAACTTAGATCAAGTCATTAAACCACCGTTGCAATATTTTCGGACATAGTTTGAATATCAAATGAATGTTGAATCTAGTGAGCTCATGGTTGAATAGAATGTATTAGCAAGACGATTCCAACTAGACTAATATTTCTCAATTCCGACACAATTAAAGCAATAAAATGTCCATCAAATGTTGTTTAATCGAATAATGCTCTCCGAACCATCCGATCAAAATAGTTTATATTTTTGCATTAATTAAACAAAAACACTATAAATATAGCATTAGTCTTCTCGTGAGGGCGGAAAGGCTTGAGTCTTTAAAGAGAACTTGAAGCTTTGAGAAAGATCTTTGTCATTGTCGATCGTTGTCGGTCGTCGTCGACCATCACAGACCTTTGTCGATCACTACAAACTATCGTCGACCACTTTGGACCGTCGTTAGGACTGTAAACGAGCCGAGCTTGAGCGAGCTCAGGCTTGGCTCGTGTTCGGCTCGTTCCAAATAGCTCGTGTTCCAAAATCGGCTCGTGAACAATGTGTTCGTGTTCGGCTCGATTTAAATATTTGTGTTCGTGTTCGGCTCGAAGTTGGCTCGTTAAACTAAAATTGACAAAAATAAATGTAAAGTATGGGATTCGAACCTAGATCAATTCTATACAAAAAAAGACACTAACCACACTGTCACATGAGGTATTATAATTTAAACTTAGACATAAATATATATAATATATTATTGTATAAATAATATATATAATATATTGTTAGATAAAAAAATTATATAATTTTTTTTCGAACCATTTCGAGCCGAACACGAGCGAACAAACAGTTGTTCGTGTTCGGCTAGTTTACATTTTGAGCTTAAAATTTGTTCATGTTCAGACGAGCGAGCCGAACATGAGCTGTTCAAGAACAACGAGCCAATTTGACAGCCCTAACCGTCGTCAACAACCACCAATCGCCTCCACGCACAACGGTCATCGTTAACCACTACCGACCATCATTGACCATTGCTGACCGTCGTCAATCACCACCAATCGTCATCGACCACCACCAATTAGATACCGCGTGGGACAAAGAAGTCTTTGCAATCATTAACCTAAATGAATTTTTACAATTAGACTAGGCCCCGTTGTATTTTCCCTTTATGGGTTTTTCCACGTAAAATATTCTGATGTCATTATTAGTTGTTTTCATTAAATGTGTGCTTAAATCCAATGCAACGCTAAGATGATAATTCATTCCTCTACCGTCACAAATTTTCTAGCACGCATCAAATATAAAATTTATGCTTAAAAAACAAGAAAATAATAATGATAATATTTATGTAACATTAAAGTTTGAATATTATAAATACTAAAATTTAATTTTTGGTATTATATACATAAATACAACAAAATCATCGTGTTAATGCTTTAAAATTAAGAAGGGAAATTTATAGACATATCACCTATTTTAAAAGTATTTATATATATTATACCTACAATTTAATATTTACACTTTTAAAACCTTAGTATCATAAACAAAGGACTGAAAATTAATTTTCATTCCCCCTTTAGAAAGACAATTATCTCTTATGTGATGTAAAAATTTGAGTGGTCTAGATGTAAATATAAGATTTTAGGTGTTATACATGTAAATACATAGGAATTATGTGGGTAACAAATTTACAGCTATTTCATGTCTGATAAACCAAATTTAATATTTAATTCTCATGTCTAACGACTTTCAACATTTAACATATTTATTATGAGCAATTATAACAAATTTATTTTCAAGTAGATATATTTTGGTTGGGAGTTTAAAGACCGAGCAAATATCACGTATTGCAACCACACGTTCGAGCAATACTTTGGATGGGCCGTCATGTGATACACGACGACCTAACAATATTCGAACCCTCTGAACATAAATACAATATGATTTTATTGAAAATTATAGCTACAACTTATCAAGTTAAAAGTTATAATTTCATTAAAAAAATTCTAATCTCCAACATGCACTCAAATCAAATAATCATACAAAAATATATATATTTAACTAAGCCATTTATTTATTCATTATTCAAGACACAAAACCATACATTAGCCGTCACACATCATCCATGACAAGCTTAGCTTCATTTCCCACAGACTCAGTACCCGCCGCTGCCGCTGCCGCTGCCGCCGCCGCCCAAGCTCTTGCTGCCCGGCGGCCCGCCCCGCCGCCGCCAAAGCTCTTGCTGCACGGCGGCCCGACGGCGCACATGATAGGAAGGAAAACACCTCTCATCATCATGTCCTGACACCTACCATGACACTGACCGCCCTCCATCTCCTTCATCATCATCGCGCCCGTCATCATCTCTAGAAGCTCACACCGACACGTGTCTGAAACCTGCCGGAGCTGCTCGCAGCATTCCGGTGGGTTTCCGGCGACGTCGCTCCCGTGCTTGATGAATGTGCGGCAGATGGCGAGGGGGTACGTCTGCAACTCTTGGACGCACTGTTCGTATTCGGTGATCGGTTCGGCGGAGTGGAGGAGGGGGAGGAGGAGGAGGAGGGCGGGGAGGAGGAGGGAGGAAGTTATGTGTGTGGTAGCCATTGTTGTTTATGTGAAGTATTTAGTCTCTGGTGGGGTTTTATGAATGGCTGGGGGTTGGTACGTAATGCATGCATGCATGATTGCATGCAGATGATGGGTGTACGTGGTGGTTAGTATTGGTGTATCAGATGCACGTGTGACACATGCATGAGGATTGGGTGTCGCACGTGTGATGAAAAATGAAATGAAGAAAATATTTTGTTATTAGCTTAATTAAGGAAAAATAAGGTTAAATTACCTTTTAAGAATTAGTTATTTGGTATATCAGTTGAATGAGGATAACTTTTTTATTGATAACGGGAGTGGCGGAACTTTTGAATTAAAATAATTTGAAATAGTTGATAGAATTTATAATTTGAAAAATACTATATTATTTGTGGATGACGTAATCTGAGAATATAGAGGCTGAAAAATAGAAAAAAATATATTATTAGGTGTGAATGTTAAGTAACCATCTTTTTCAAGAGTAAGGGGTCACCTCTCAAAAGAGCTCTTCAGGTTTTTTTGTGGGTAGTCCAGGACTTAAATATTGTTTTTCGGTCTTACACCTAGCTGATGTGAGACTTTTTTGTCCGTGACGTTCTCCTTCACCCAATCATGTGGCGTCCTCGTCACGGATCAACTCCAACGAGGGTCTCATTAGACCATAGAGATTTCACACAGCTGACAGGCAATAACATGCTTTGATATCACTTTTCACCTCCCAAAAGAGCTATTTGAGGTGGTGGGTAGCCCAGGACTTAAATACTGTTTTTGGTCTTACACCTAGCCGATGTGGGACTTTTTTGTCCGTTACATTCTCTTTCACCCAATCATGTGACGCCCTCATCACGGATCAACTCCAACGAGGGTCCCATTAAACCATAGGAGAGTCCACACACCTGGCAGGTAGTAGCCTGCTTACCACTTTTCACCTCCCAAAAGAGCTCTTCAGGGTGGTGGGCAGCCCAAGGCTTAAATACTGCTTTTTGGCCCTACACCTAGTCGATATGAGACTTTTTCTTTGGCCCTACACCTAGTCGATGTGGGACTTTTTGTCCGTGACACACGGGTGAAAAACGGTCATGTGAGAAAATATCATGGGCATTAATATCATTTCAAGATTATTCTAGCTCCTCTAGGAGTAAATATAATAAGATGTGATTAGAATTTAGTACAAAAACTCTTCATTCCCAGGCACAACAGAAAAAATGGCGGTCCTATACCTATGGATAAATTTGCACTTATTTGTGATGGTTTGTCAACGATTGCAATTGAATTAATTTTTCAATGCTTTTCTTACGATTAAATCATAGCTTAAAAGTAAATCACATTTTTGACAACCTAAAGAAGATAACTAATGGTCCAAACTGTATTATTACTACATATTACTTTTTGATTGTTTTAACCCATCGGAAAGATATGAGTCAGTCTTTGATTGTTGATATCGAACGGTTCTGTTATTGTAACTAACGGTAAAGGAATTGTCGGAAACTGTCTTTATATCAAATCGATGTTTGAAATCTCACATTTCTTTCCTCTCACGCGTCTGAGCTCTGAACCAACCTGAAGCGCCCTTAGATCACATTTTTGTTAATGTTGATTGTTTTTCAAGTTCTTATAGTCAAATTGTAAATAATGTTGATTTTAATATTCCTCTAGGTTTTTATTTAATTTGAATAGTTGGTTTTTTTTGCATTTAGAGAATTTCTATCTTGGATAAATTTGAAATTTTGATTCTATTTTGTATAGTTTTGATGATGTATTTGATTGTTACATGCTCGAGACTTATCTACTTAGCACATAAATCTTAGGTTTTGTCTATCTAACATCCAATCTTTGATACTTACATACATGGCAATTTGGATTAGGGTTTAGCTATGTAAATATGTAAGAACTGTGTGCTACGCATGTGAATGACCTTTTTTAAGGTAAACTCTTATGTTTTTATGTATCTCACATTTTTTTTGTACTTATATACATGACACTTCGTTGCTTTAAACATATGCGTAACAAATTATATTTTATTTTATTAAATGCATGCCTAAGAATATTTGAGCTTAGATTTGAAAGAGATAAATAAATAAGAATTGCAAGTTATGGATGTAAACAACTCTTTTCTGAGTGTGACACCGACATTTGTTAGATTATTGATAGGTCGGGTAAAATGAGATAACTTTAATATTTTATGTTAGAGTTTCCGTGCTCTTTATTTTTATATAAAGACAATGACCTATGTTCAACACTTAACGTCTTTTTTTTTATGAATATGACACCAACCTTTGTCATGGTAAAACTTGTTGAAAAAATGGAGGGTTGCGTTATGTGGTTGATAGCTAATATAAAATTTGTCAAAAAAATCATGGCATGAATTCTTTTGATCATTGTATAAGTGTTGGGGCGTCTCCTAGAAGCAACACGTTGTATAGTTCGAATACAGTGAAAAGTGTGCAGGGGTCGTGTTGTTCTCATTTTTATGAGGTATTCCTCTCCATTTCCTTAGAATATAGAATATAATCTTAGGATTTGTTATTTGACTTTCTTAGAGGACTAGTCTGAGACCTACACTATTTAGAAATTCGAACAATTTCTTCACTCATTGTAGTTTCATATGGGTGGTTTCAAATCCAACGTTTAGTTTAGTCGATTAAAGCCGACATATCGAAGCTAAAGTTGAGTTTTCATAAGGATTTGCAAACCATACAGGGACCCCATGACGTACGACGATTGACTCGCTGCCGCGAGCAACTGCTTAACTTTGGATATTGCTTAGGCAATGATAGGTCAACAATTTGCTCGTTAAAAGGCTCTGATCATACCAAATAAGTACATCAAAAATTAAACAAGTCTAATTCTCCAAACAACAAGAATGTTAGCTATTAATATAAATAACTTACATGTACTAGATTGAGCCTCTTAAATGCTATGTCAATCTATGACGAATTCTAGCTGACATCGGTTGGTTACATCAACATTCTGGGTCTGACCTAATGATTGACCGGAGTGAAAAAAGATATATGCAAATAAAATCATAGCTGTGTAAAAGAAAAGAAATAATATGCTTTAAACAAAAAGAATGAAGTTTTATAAGATTCATACAAAATACTAACCGTTAAGAGAAAAAGAAAACCATTGATATATTCCAAAGGCCGATTCTGCCTTATTTTAAGGGCTATTGCATTAATTTGCTCAATGAATAAATCACATACCACAACAGACCAATTAAATAAGCTGAAAGTCTGTACATTCTCGCCAAAGATGAAAAGTTCTTTGGAAATACTAAAGTTACTAGAAAAGAAAAATAAATTCTATAACAAATACTTCAAAAATAATTCATCAAAAGGAGTAGAACACTCCTCACTTGAAACATTCATTATGTCTTTCTTAATTTGCCACACATCAACACTAGAAGAGAGAAATTTTTTCCACTTTGCTACTTCTCTATTCGACATTCCTATCAGAAGGACAATTTCATGAAAGATTATTCTTAGTTATTTCTCACCCATTTTGAATATCATTCGTTCATATTGCTAATATTTTAACATTTGCAGTGTCAGAACATTGTCTTGAGGATACACAAAGAGATCAAAAAAATTGATCTACATTCAATAGTTTCAAACTATTTCTGGTCTTCTTTGGCATGACAGACTTGACCTTATTAAGAACGTCTCTTACAGTAGATGAACATCTACAATTGAAGGACTTTGAGTTCACAAGCGTAAACAAAAAGTTGATGCAAAAAAAAAGTAGCAATTTAATTATCTATACATCAACAAAATGAATACAACAATAAAAAATCACACCTCATCTATCGAATCAGCCCCCGTTCCTATTATATATGAATCTCTTTAATTACTAAAAAGTCTATCTGAAAAGTTAATGATGAGGGGACGAATATATATTTTTATAATGTTAAGAAGTATAGCTATAAATAGTCCATGAATAATACTAATAAGTGTTAGGCTCTCTTTATTACTCCCTACCTTAGTTATTTTCTGATGAGGCGTTTGGATTTAACAATCATCTCTATTATTAGAAAAGGAATCAAGACCGCTTCAAACGGAGAAATTAAAATTTACATTTTGCCCACGCGGCGAAATTCCCCACGGGAGTAAAATTGACCTAACGGCCTCCACCTCAATCTGACCGTCCAATCATTCAAAACGAACGGCTAATGATAGCGATCCGCGAGAAATTAAACGATTGGTTCTTCTCACGCCCCCATCCTCTATATATAAATTAAGGATCGGAACAAATTGACAAAACTCTCATCCTTTTTCTTTCTGCTGGCCAGAACCAAACCCTAGAATCTTTCGTAACCATGGCTGGAAGAGGAAAGGCGATCGGATCCGGAGCCTCGAAGAAGTCCACTTCGAGGAGCAGCAAGGCCGGCCTTCAATTTCCTGTCGGCCGTATTGCTCGATTTCTCAAGGCTGGCAAGTATGCTGAGCGAGTTGGCGCCGGTGCTCCGGTCTATCTCGCCGCCGTTCTTGAATACCTTGCTGCAGAGGTATGACTGTATCTCTGATATCATACAGATTGTTATAAAACTTCGTTTTTTTTATTACTATAGATGCTTCGATGTATTTTCTTTGTGCTATTTCTGTTATTGCTGTTTCCGATGCCTGAACCTATGCGTTGGATGCTCGGAGATTTCTTTGGTTCTGTAATTTTTTTACCCTTACAGTTTTCCCTTATTTTGAACAGGATCCATATAAAATTTGATGTTGTTAGATAAATTATGTGATACTCGCTTAATTTTCTTTGGTAATACAACTTGCATTACAAAAAAAAAAAAAAAGTTTTGAAGTTTTGATTTTGCTGATCAGAGCTGATCAGATTTGAGTTTTTTAAAATCCAAAATTTTAAGGTTTTATGTCGGTTTTGATTTGTTCATTTATTATTATTATTTCTTTAATACTTTGATCAGGTTTTGGAGTTGGCCGGAAATGCTGCCAGGGATAACAAGAAGACTAGGATTGTGCCAAGGCACATTCAATTAGCTGTTAGGAACGATGAGGAGCTCTCTAAGCTTCTGGGCACTGTGACTATTGCTAACGGTGGTGTTATGCCTAACATTCACAACCTTCTTCTTCCTAAAAAGGTTGGGGGGACGTCTAAAGCTGGACCAGCTGATGATGAATGAAGACAGTTCAAATCAAAGTCTCAACTTTTTTATAATTTTTTTGGCTGTTTTATATGGATTAGTTCTTGTTTAGTGTTGTATGATCTAACTGGATTACTTTGTGTTTCTGTTTATGCTTTTCTGTTGGTGGAGAAGATGCCATGGATATAAAATTTTCTCTATTTATTGTTAAGTTTATTGATAATTGTTTCTTCTATTGGGTTAATTAGATTTTCTTCGGATGTGGGTATCACATTGGCAGCTATTCTATGTTGGAAATTATATAAAAGTTTCAATTTTTATGATGTCAATGAAATGTGCATGACTCTATAGAGTGTCGGATGATATTAAGATTACCAAATTGTTAAAATCAGGAGCAATTCCAACTTCTTTAAGGAGCTGCAGGTCAATAATAGCTATATTCAAAATCAGGATGACATGAAAATATTAATTTGTTCGATGAGTTGCAGCCTACTAATAACCTTCTGAAATATGCTGGCCTTTTTTCTATTAATAGTGAGTCTACCATTATTCTCTTCATTAGCAAACTTCTATTGATGGAGGTTTTTAGGTAATGAAATTCTAATTTTGTTCAATTCTAAGAGCTTCAAGAATAGTATTTGCCTCAAAATTGATATTGTGAAAAGTTTGTGATTGTTATCCATTTTTTTCTTTAAATTTCGGTTTACCCCCACACTTTCATTAGTTGGATCAAAGCTTGCACTTCTAAGCTGGACTATTATGTTCTCATAAATAGTGAAATTAGAGGATATATCCCATCCTCCATTTGGCTTGACAAAGGCTGCTTCTTATCATCTTATTTATTTTTTTTGCATTATAATGGATGCATTCTCCTCTATGGTCGATAATTTTGATTGGAATTGCATTTTGAAGCATATTGTATATACTGATTTGTTTTTCGTATAGTTTTCTCCTTTACGATGTTATGTTGATAAGCTTTATTCTCGCTTGTAGAAATGTTACTCTTACTAAACATTAAGGGAGCCTTGGTTTCCCTAACCTTGATAACACTAATCTTATGTGTAAGGCTAAAATCATGTGAAGGCACTATAGTTCTAGTAATTTTCAGTCTAATTAGATGTCTAACTATTGTGATTCTCTTTTGTTTAATAACATACCATCATCTATTTAATACCCTCTCTCATTCTATTAGTGAGGCATCTTTATGGCATCTTTATGGCTCTTATATTAGTGAGGCATCTTACAAGTTTTTCACCACTCTTAACAGCTTTAATAAAAAATTTTCTTAAAAGATTTTATTTACTTGACGTGCATTACATTACTTATCATTTATGGCTGGAGGAGAATTGTAAGATTTTAAGGAATGCATAACTCTTTTGAGCCTATCATTAAGTGCATCAATTAAATTATTCTAGAAGTCATGTTTGTATAATTGCGAAAAAAGCCAAAAAATATAAAGAATGTCAGTACTTATCCTAAAAAAATAAAATAGACACACAAAATTAATTTACATATATACGAAAAAAAGAAAGACTTACTGGATTAGCTGCCATATATAACATCTGTTGTAGGCTCCCTCAGAGCAGTCATCTCGGCTACACCCTCAGCGTCATGAACTACAAATTAAATTCATTCTCGTCCTTAGGAACTGAAGGCCCGATCATGCTTTCTGATGATTCTTCATAGACTGTCAGCTCTTCGTTATCAGTCATACTACAGTTTGTATCTAAACGTAAAGGGTGCGCAGTGTGAAGTTATGAAGTGTCATTGTTGTCACCACAATCTGCACCTGCTTCTGAAACGGATATGACGACATAACAAGTAGGATGACCAATTTCTTTTTCCACACACCAAACGTTTTTTCAATTACCCCCATGTAAAGAAGAGTGACGTTTGTTAAACATTTCTTTCCTACCACGAATAGTGTCACTTGCTCGCTCAAAATCAGAAATGTGATACTAGTGTATGGATATGGTTTGAGATATCCCCTCTGCATTGGGTATCCAACATCAACCAAAGAGCATTCTCCCTTTATGGAAGTTATTGTTATTTGCAATAAATACATATAACTTGGAATTTTAAACTTCAATACATACCTGGAGGCGGATGAGGAAAACCCTGAGATTTATTTCTCGTAGCATAAAAGAAATTTCGACTATCATGTGCACTCCCTTCCCAGCCCGCCATAACATATGTGAAACACATGTTGAAGTCACATACCGCCATGACATTTTGAGTAGTCGAATCTAGTTAGTCGAATCACTTCGACCAATGGAAGCACCTTGTCCTAGCTGGATATTTGGGCATCAACGTGAATACCCTCAATTGCACTTATGCAGTTCTGTTTTACAATGCTAGAAAATATTTATGTGTTGTTATGAAAGTAAATAAGAGAATGTTTACCTTAAAGTAAGACATGTAACGAGGATAGACTTCAATTTGACCTGGAGTATTAGCAAATGATGTATGCTCTGGTCTGATGTTTTTAGAGGCTAAGCTAACATGTGCTTGTATGCTTTGGAAAAATAACGACTTATTGTCTCTGATGAATGCTGAAATCTCTCCATAGCACCCCTAATTGATTCATTCTGTGACAAAATATATAGTGTTATAGCCAATACCTCCCTATCTCCCTTCTCGTCGTTCTCGAAGAACCTTGGAGTCTGTGATTGAGAGATAACTCGTGCTAGAGATCCATAAAGATCGGTACTATCATTCGAAATATGTTACTAAACCTAATAGAATGTCCAGAAAGCATTTCGTCAACCCATAGTCATTCTAGATAGTATCCAATCAAACTAAACATTTCTAGATAGTATCCAATAGTATACAAAAGAACAGAAGCAACATTCTATATAAACCGTGCACCTAAACAATTCCAACAAATGCTAAAAAACAATTCCAACAAAACTAGATAGTATCCAATAGAACTAAATAATATCCAATAGATATTCAAACAAATGCACCTAAATTGTGACCATAAACAATTCCAATTCCAATTCCAACAGGTGCAACTAAAATGACTTATCAATTGTTGAACAATTCCAATTCCAACAGGTGCAACTAAAAAATTTCAGAAGTTAGAAAATTCTAGCAGTTCGAAATGAGCTAAACAATATAACAGGTGCAGCTAAAAAAATCCAGCAGTTTGAACTATATAACGATTCCCCCTGCATTCATTTCTTCAAGAACAATATAAAAGGCTTATCAAACAATTCCAACAATAACGATTCCCACTGCATTCCTTCAAGAACAAAATAAAAAGGATGCATCGAAGCACATTCCAACAGTATTATACGATTCCCACTTTTCAAATCAAAATTTTGCTTAAAGGAGCAGGGACGGGAAGAACAAAGATTCCCACATTGCGAACCCAATTTTCCCCCATTGCTCATCTGCATTTCTCAAGAAAACCCTAAAAAAAAAACGCAGAAAAAAATCACGAGAAAACCTCAGATCCATTTCCATCAACATTTTTTCAACCCTAATCCAGCAAAGACATCCTAAAGACAACCCTACAGAAAACCAATTCTTGCAAAGAAACTAAAGATAACTGAATCGAGGCACATATAAATTGAACAACGAAGGAGAAGACCGAATCTTGCAAATAAAAACCAATCAGAGAAAATCGAACAACCAGAAAGCATTCCAGCATATAGATCTCACCAGAAGAGTCAATGTTTACGAAGGAGAAGATCGGGAAAGGAGATGACGAGGGAGAGCACAAGAGAGATATCGCAGGGGCACGGGAGGAATGAAACCCTAACAAACGCCGAACGCAAGAGGAGCCCCGCGTGCGATGTGTAGAAGGAAAAAATGTATGCGATTATCGTCGTTTTAAAAACGCTTTCCGAACGCTTTAAACAAACATCAAAGCGGCGTTTTCAAAACGCCGCCACACCTAAATAAGCTACCCCAAACAGGCACTAAAATTAAGGAAATTTAAATTTAATAATGAGACCCCCATCTCATTAATGATTTATATGACATGATTTCATGCATTGGTTGTTGGTTTGATTTTATATTAGGTTTTTTGTTGGGTATTTGGTTTTATGTTTAAACTTATCATTGGTTCTTTGTATGGAACATACTATTTACTTAGAGCTATGATGCCCATCATCCTAGGTGACTCGACTACTCATCTGGATTTTGATTTCTCCCATATCTTGTTCTCTTCTAATGTTTTGGAGAGGATCTCTCTTACTCCCCACATACAATTTTTTAATCAGTGTCAGGTCCCAAGCCTCAAATGTGAAAAGTTGAGGGTTATTGTAGATAGTTGATAACCAACGTAAAATTTGTCGAGAAATAATGACATGAATCCTTTAAATTTTTGTATAAATGTTAGTGCGTCATTGACAAACGACGTGTTGTATGACCTAAACAATAGTGAAAAGCACTCAACGTTTGCTACATTGGTGCCTATGTGTAGTGTGCTTCTCAAGGCAATTTTAATATAGTTTATAAAGAAAAATTATAAAATGACCTAGAGTAATTAATACAAATGAAATCTTTTGGACATGTTGGTAGAAAGGATTCAAGTAGCCGACTAAATATATATATATATGACGCTTGAAATAAGATTGGAGAAACTAAACTCAAAATTATACAATTCTATATATCGCGCCCACTAATTCCATCAATTTAGAGAGGCTGAGATTAGCTATTAAATCCTAGTTGTAATTTATATTTAAATAAATAGCTAAGTTTTGACAAACAAAGGTCAGGATGGCCGAGTGGTCTAAGGCGCCAGACTCAAGTTCTGGTCCTCGAGAGAGGGCGTGGGTTCAAATCCCACTTCTGACAATTGTTTAGCTTTTACCACTATTTCAAAAAAGACAATTTTTTTATTGTTACTTTGGGAGTTGGGACAAGTTGGTGTCATGTTAATTCTAATTTTCCTTTTAAAATAAAAGTAATAAAACTTTTTTATATAATTTTAATGTTTAAAGTACCATCGAAGTTAAATATCAAAATTTATTTTTTTATTTAAATAATAAAAAACTTTTCTATTAAATAAAAATATTACTTTTCTTACTTTTAAAAACAATTACACATTTTTATTTATAAAAAAAAAAAGAAATTTGTGGCTCTAAAATAGCTCTTTTGTTATATTCTATTCGAGTTTATTTAAGTCAAGTTTGATCAGACTTAAAATCAAAATGTGCTAACGTAAATTGAGTTATTTAGATCTGTTTCAACACACAGAATCAGCTCAATCTAGCTCAAAATTGAAACTATCTAGCTCAAATGTAATTGTTTGGATCCACTTGAGTTCTATATCTGCTCTTAACTTGCTAAAATCAATTTCTTTAGCATAACAGCTCAAAAAAAAGTTAATGCAAAATGTCAGCTCGTTTATTTAAATTCGAGCCAAAATTAAAATCAATTATTGATTTGAGCTAATCACATTCCTAACTGAGGGGACCAGATATGCATAGGAGTAGACCCGAGCACCGGGCATATTAGGCATGCCGCATGTCAGATTTATTCGGGATTTGACCGGTTAAAGCGGGCTTGGGCCGGGCATAAACCCAATTTATACTTAGAATTTCATAGTCGCTCGCCAATGAAATGTGATGGGCTACTCCGTGAGCCATAACAAAAAAAAAAAAAAAAAAAAAAAAAAAAGAATATAAAAAAAATATTTCATACGAAAATATAAGCTAAATTTTTTTTAAAAAAAAATATATTTAAATTTTAGGTACGTACATATGAAGATTAGGTGTTAAATATGTGAATGTGTAAAAATCAAATAATTTATTTATAAATAATTAAAATTTAAATTTCAGATATAATAAAAAATAAATGCGCATCCGGGGAATCGAACCCCGGTCAGTACCGTGGGAGGGTACTATGATGCCACTACACCAGATGCGCCATGTATGTCTTTATTAGTTAGATAAATACTAATCTAACTGCTTAATTTATAATTAATTTAGAAGTACTAACTATTAATCTTATGTCACTTATTTATGTTTAATATTTTATAAATTTATGTTCTCAATCATTTGAAACATTTCAATGTTCATATGTACATGTGTATATATAGAGATGTAAATTAGTCGAGTTGAGTCGAGCTTGTGTCACCCCTTAGTTTGATCTTGAATTTTATTTTACAAGTTATTGCCACCTTGTTTAAGTATTAAAGGGAGAAAAATATTTACTTAAGCTATTGGTATGAGGAAATGACAAATGAAATGAGTATGTATATAAAATGTAAATTATTATTATTTTAAATATTTTAAATAATTTAAGTAATTTTTTTATTAATTATTTTTTAAATGAGTTGACTGACAAACTAAAGAATTAAGATGTGAAGTGCTTTTTGGGTTAAGGATAGATTAAAAGGCGGTGTTTGTAGAATCTAAATTGGTTCTTGAACACACCTTAGGCATGAACAATGTACAAGAAAAGCAGAGAAAGAGAAATGTGAATGTGTGTTGTATGTTATTAAAAGGTCTAGACCTCGTTAGGCCAGAATAAGAAGAGGGTTCAGATGATAGTGAAAATCATAAAATGAGAAATGTCTCCCTTGTTACGGGCTTTACTATCGTTGTCGAACCGTCGAGAGTGCAGTCGAGTGCGAATGTGAATGATTGTCACGAATTAAGATCAACAAACCCACGTAAATTGACACATTAATAGGCATGTGATTCAAAATCGATTCTTTCCGTTTAAGAATTAAGACAACAAATGAAATCTATTTTAAGTTCCTTTTTTTTTAAAGTTTCCATAAAGATCAATATAAACTAGAAGAAAAGGTTGAGCGCAGTCGAAGATTAGCATGAGAAAAGTTGTGAGAGTAATGATCCGTTTGGGGCAGTTTATTTAATGCATTGACGTTCTGAAAACACATCTGGACTGTTTGGGTAAACTGCGTTTTGGCAGCTTATGCGTTTTGAAAATGTTGAAAGTAGCGTTTTCACACCGCATCTATCTAGACAACTTTCTGGCAACGGCCTGGCTTTTTCAAAAAAAAAATAAAATTCTAATAGCCACCGCATCTATTTTATCACCAGATTATTTTTAATCAGCTTATCAGCAGATTATTCAACAAACTGCAGCTGCCCCAAATAAACCATAAAACTCGTAATAGGGGAGACACTGTATAGGGAAGACTCAAAATCTTCTGGGAGTGAGTGTCAAATCTTAATTTAGGTGGAAAACTTTTATGTTAATGATGTGATTCTCATCATATTGATATTAAAATCTTTTTTAAAAATATGGAGTACGATATACTTTGTGAAATCGAAACATTTTTGTATCTTCCCGTGACATAACACATTTTTTTATAGTAAGAAAATGTTATATAATAATGCAAAAGATTAAGAATCAAGGAAAAAAAATGTGAGAAAAAAATGCAATATTAGAGGATGGAAATGTATATCAAATAGTGAAAGTGTGCTCTTATGCATAACACTTTAGTAGAAAATAAAGTGAAAGAATCATAAGGTGCTGAGATGTTGGATTCAAGCGCTCAGCTCAAAAACTAAAGAATAATGAAACTTTTTTCTTAATGATATTTTCATTTTTTTTTAGTTCTATATATAGATAAGAGAGATAACATAAATATTAAATTTTTTCTTGCATTTATGATATAATATAAGCAAACTTTATTACTAGGTTTAAGAAATCATATTGAGTTAATTGATAGCATGTTCTCTTTTTGTTTTTCTAATTAAAAAATACCCTAAACCCATGGCCGGCCAAGCCACCCAGCTTGCCGCCCACCCTTGGCCGGCCACCCGATACTGATGAACTCCAACGCTCCAGAACGACAAATTTGAGCTAGGAAAAGACCAAAATACGGTATACTGCCCTCCTTAAAGCAATGGTATTTGTAATCATCTTTTTCTTTTCTATAAATAAATGTACCTATAGCACGTTAAAGGAGACCTCGACTCTCTCTCTTGGGCCCTCCTCTCTTCTCCTCTCCTTTTGACCCCCCATGCAGGGAGAATTCTCCCCTTCCCTTGTAATCACCTCTATGTAGAATAAAATGGGCCTAAGAGTCCGAGAACACTCATCTTTTCCTTGTTTTTATAGAATCTTTGCCAACTCTCCTAATTTATAAATGACACAATAACTTTCTTTTAATAATTAAATACCATTATTTTTTCATCTTTTATCATGTTAGAATTTTTATAATTATTTGATGTTTATTTAGTTTATGAGAATGCAATATATTGTTTAAAATTTTATATTATAGATTATGCCATAATTCAGGAAAGCCCCCGTCTTTTATAAGAAAATATTACGTTCGAACACCACACATTTGGGCGCCCAATCACAAGAGACTATATTGGTGCTAGTTCACGTGGATAGTGACGTGACATATTGACATTGAATGTTCACATATTGAACATAATATTTTCTCATCTTTTAATTTCAAAAATAGGCATTCCATATGTGTGTGCTATGACTATGTCCCCATGTTCTTATAGTTAGAGTTGTTTATATATTTTTTTATTATATGTTGAATCATAATTTATCTGGGAATCACAGGAAATATAGTAAGGAGAGAGAGAGGGAGACAGCCAAAAAGAAAAGTGAACCCTAATACAATGTGTCAACTGTCAAATAATGTCTTATTTATGAAATGATCTCCAATTTATAATGATATTACATTTTTTCCCATCCTTTAATGAGGTCCATACCAAGGTATTTCCGACAATTCACGCCAGGGTATTTCTGACAATTCACATGTATGGGCTCATCGTTTGCCTGCTTTCTAGCTTGACAAGCTAAGTTGGATTAACTTGGAGTCGGCAAGGTCAACTTGGTTACTGATCTATCCTGGCCTCGGGTCGGCAGGATAAGCTTGGCCAATTAAAGTTTAGTTGTCTAAATTTGATAGAATCATCTCAGTCAGCTGATCTTTCCTGGTTGCCTATCTTTGATCGCTATTGAGGAACTCTTGTCAACATAATAACATCGGATTATCTGGCAGATGCTGAATTACCGTGATCTGATAGTAGTTTGTTTCTCAAAGAGAAGGTCCTACAGGATGACTGTAGGACTTTTTGTTGCACTATTGATTCTTGATTATTGATGGATAGCCTTCATAGGATGATTTTAGATATGGATCTGGGCCTTCCTTTGGATCGACTCTACCATTGGATAGGCCATTGCATTAAGCTATTTTCGTGCATTGTTTGGATTGGATGCCTTTTTGTCTTATTTTCAGTCCAAATGGTTCAGGCTCGTTTCATTTCTTCGTCCATTCGTTCTTTTCATGGTTCAGTCTGTTTTTGCCTGACTCGCTTTGGCTCAACAGCTTTACTCGGTCAGACAAGTGGGTCTCATAGTCTTCTATTGATGGGCCCTCATTCGACATGCTCTTTTCTTTAGGACCGTTTAATCTCATCAGGATCAACACTGACACATTTGCCTCCTAGTTACATCATGCTTTATTTTTAATGCAAAGCTCTTTATTTTTTTATTTATCCTTAAAATTTAATCAGAATATTCTGATTCTAGTTAATCATTTGAATTTGCATTAAAATGATCATGATATATGTTTTAATTAAAATAGTCATATATTTTATTTATTCCAAAATAAAGTTTTAATAATTATAAAATACATCATAAGGAAAATCAGTTTTCAATCAATTAATTTTTTTTTAGTGTCATGAATAGTCCAAATTACATATTTACAACATAAATATTGATTTTGATGATCTTATATTAATACAAAAAACATTTAAAAAGTATGATTTGCTGGTGAAATATAATTTACATAATAAATTTTTATAAAAAATAAAAAAAATACTTTTCTGTATTTGGCTTAATTTAACATATTAAATCTGTCGACAAAACATTATTTCTTAATAAAAGTAGATAAAAAAAGCAATGAAATTATTAAATTTATTAAATATGTAAGAAAATATGCGTTATTTATGTAAATAATCATTTTTTATTTTTTAAATTTCTATTTATCTTTTTCATATTTTGTTTTTTTTATCCTTAAAATTTATAATTTCAGAATAAATATTTTTTAAGTCTGATATTTATGAGAAATGTGATCCATCACATTTAGGACGACGACGCTAATCTCAAAGCATACCTATTATTTCTTCATTAACTTAATTAAATTAAAAGCTGACATTTTTCTCTATAAATGGCGTCGCCCAGACCCTTGCTGGGGTAGGTCTTCTCCTTTTTCCTTCTCCTTTTATGTCCTTCTAGTGTACACCTCCTATTCTGCTACTCTTCTTGCACAGAATCGCAGCTCAGAAGCAGCGGTGGAGATCATCGACACCAATCAATGGCTACCAATGTGTATATAGTGTAAGCATTCTCCCTTTCTGTTTGCTCCTTTCTGCAGCACTCTGATCGCCATTCTTTCTTTCTCCCCTTGTTCTGTATATTTATTTTTTGTTTTTTTCTCTCTCTGTTTACTCAATGTGGCATGAAGCTTCATTAATTTGAAAAAGTTTTGGTTTTGGGAATGATTTTGATGTTTTTCGACGGATTAGGTCTGGTAGCTGAATTGGGGCAGCGGTTGATTATCAAATTATGGAGTATTTTTGCCTGTTTATAATGAGGATGTGAATACATGCGAGATATATATTTGTTATTTGGAAAACCAAAGAGGGAGTAGGTTTTGGAGATGTAGTTTGCCCTGAAAATGTGTCTTTTAACTTTTATAAAGGGAGTTGCCGGAAAAAGAGGAGAGGCTGATAGATTAAACCTAATTCTATCACTGAGGGGTTCTCTGGTAACAACTTTAATAAATCCTGTAAATCCGGATTTACGAAATCCTGCCAATGCTTGGATTTAGTAAATCCAGGATCTAAGATAAACTGATGTGATTTAAGAAGAAATTGGACTTACTAAATTCAGGATGGGCAGATTTAAGTTAAATCCGATTTAAATCCATTACCACACAACCCTGAAAGCGTAACGAACATAAAACAGCAAAGAAGAACATGATACAAAAACACACAAGAATTGTAAACAGATTCACCCAATTGATAGGCACTCCATATTGTTATTTCTGCAAATTTCTTCACTATGGTTTAGTTGCATAGAAATCCAACCCTAATTATATAGTATACAGATGATTTCCTCCTTTTTATAGTGAAAAAACTTGGGCAGCTAAAAAGTATAGTAAAATTCCCAAAGTACACTAAATGATTCATTTTATTCATAAGAAAGAGAAAAAAAAACTAGAATTTGCAACTTGACCGAGTAAAGGTTTGCTATTAGAATTACATATTTTTTGGATTGTTGGCTTGCTGGTGGGATTGGTTTTCATCATGGTCCCCATTAACATGGCTAGTCTGCGATTGATGTGCTTCTAGATGTTCTTTTACAAATTAGATGGTGACCATTATGTTCTTTTGGAAAAGTTTCTTTTTTGCATAAAAGTTGTTGAATTGTTTCTGTCTTTCAATTATCTTTGATGTTAATTTGCAACAGTAAAGTTGATGATGTTGATCTTTATTTAGCAGTTTTCCCACCTCCTTACATATTATATAATTTTTCTCTGATTCTTGCACCGTAGTCAATAGAGTATAATATTAGCACTGTTATATGGCATGTCATGATTAAGCTTTTGGAAAGAAAAATTGATGCCTATCCTTTGAATTCTTGTGTTCAGGGCCCATTTTTTTTGGCTTCTTTAATCTGCTTTTATTAATCTTTTGGCTGAACTGATTGTATTGCTTTGACTGTCTTTTTTTTTCTTGCTTCCTTGTGTGATGTAATTGAATTATGGGAAATTTACATATGTTGCTCACAATTCTTATGTATTTACATTGCTCACATGCAAACTTTCAAATTTACATGCATAGCACTTTGGTGCTTTAAACCTATTCATGAAAATGTGTATTTTAGTTTTAAAAAGTGGTAATAGTGCTATGTTTTATGTGATATTAAATATTTGAGTGCTATTTGTGTAGTTATTAAAGCTAGGAGTGAGATATGTAAATACATATGAATTGTGTGCTAGGTATGTAAATGCCCCTTGAATTAAACAACAATCACTCTTGTTCTTTTAGAATGTTAAGTTTTGCATGAATGTGGGGTCTCAACTATCCTCATTCAAGATCTCTTGTAACACAATTCTTTTAACTTTTAAGGAATTCTAACACGTGTAAAGTTTAACTTTATTTTCAATGATAATTGGACATTTAAGTTTTTTTTTTATCATTCAAGATTTTATTTCGTAGTTCACTACAATTTAAATACAAAAATTGGAGATTGTTTATGCATACTCGTTATGATGCATGTTGATTTATGGTTTCCGAAATTGATTATGTAATGAGGAAAAATCATGCAACACACATAATATTTTGCGGGTCATGATTTCATTCTTGTTCTCTCCCTTTTTTTGTTATTTGTCTGTCACATACGTGTAAAGATTTCCCTATTTATTGACATATATAAACAAATTTTAAATTCATAAATAACCATATTTTAAATATTTAAATTTGAATTATTCTCATCCAAAGAAGATAAATAAACTTAATAAAATAAATAAAATAGAAACTTAGGTTCAAACATAAATAATAATGAACTTTAGAGAAGGCCTATAAATTAGTCTAATTTAATTCTATTGCAAATTGGTTGAACTTTTCGTAGGCTTATGAAATTATGTTCTTTTCTTGACTAAAACTAGATGATGCGTCTTGCATCAATTTATCATATTTGCAGGCTTGAGATAATAGAGAGCATGGCAACGCAACGATAAAAAATAGCGGGATAAATTATCAAAAAATTGATGAAGGGGGATGAAGAAACTTTGCATATGTAACTTCGAATGATCACAACTTTGTTTTAGAGAGCGCTCAATTAGTTTCACAAAATAATTTTCATTCATTGAAGTCTCATTGTTTATAAGCCTTTGATTCCCATTTTATAGAAATAAGTTTAAATCGGTAAGCCCAAATTTGAAATTCAATATAACCTCTTGTAAAATATGTAAATTCAAGTCATTCCCTTGCAAGAATGATAATTGAAGGCTAAATCTAATAAAATAAATCAAATTAAAAATTAATAGAAATGGGCCTTCGCTTTAGTCCTATAATGATAACAGTTTGAGGCGCTTCTTAAGTTCTTGGATGACCACGTTGAGTTCTTTTGAAAAGTTTATTTTTCTGAAGATGTATTTATATATCTACCACCCAAAATTTAATTTTTACATACATAACACCTTACCTATACATGAAAGGGTGCATTTCACTTTCCAAAAGTTATAATGGTGCTATTTTTTATGTAATATAAAAGATTTGTGGGGTATTAATGTCAATAGTAAAATTTTAGTGATAGATATGTAAATCTATAAGAATTGAGTGTTATGTAGGTGAATGCCCCCATGTTTTTTTTTCTGGGTTAACTTTGTTGATGGTACTTCTCATTTATTTATGTCAACTCACTCTGATTTTGAGTTATAATTTGCTATTTTCTTACCTCCTTACATGTTTTATACTTTTGCTTTAATGCAACTTAGCAATATATTATAATTCTAGTAGTTTAAATGTCTTATTCATCTTAAGATTCTAGAAGGATATGTTGATAGCTTCAAACATAACTGATTGATATTTCTTAGTTGGTTAGAGTTTCATTCTCTTAAATTTTTTATTTTTTCCTTAATTTTTAGAAGGTTTTCATCTTGTTTCATGAATTTTTAAAAGCCATTTAAATATTATAAGAATTTTATATACTTCAAATTTATCATAGACAATTTGTTGGAAGATTTATATACATACCACTGAATTCTTATGTATTTACATATCTAACACATATACTTCAATTTTTACGTATATGTCACCTTACCTATGCATGAAAATGTGTGTTTTGCTTTTAAAAGTTAATATAGGGGCATTTTTTATGTGATACGAAAATTGAGGTGGTATGGCGAAGTTTAGGGGTTAGATATGTAAATACATAAGAATTGGGGGGTATGTATGTAAAAGCCTAACATATTTTATGAATGGGCTTCTTAATAATAAATCAAACTAACCATGTTTCTTTCATTCTTTTAAGAATCTTTTAATTTTAATGCCTTCTTCTTATTGAAAATAAAAAATTTAATTTATTATATAACTGTATTTGGATTATTTTTAAATAAAATATTCTCAAGATATTATACTCTAAAAAGTGTTTTATGCAATTTTAAAAATCTCTAAACCCAGTGATGTAGTCAACTGTAGTTGTTCTATGTGTCAGCCTATTGTATCCAGTGCTAAGAAGTATCATTGGTGATAGAAATTAAAAGCTTTCTTCTCCATTATTTGCTATTGTTCTGAGAGTTCATACTCCATAGTCTAATTTTTTCTGTTGTAGAGCATCTCTAAGAACACTAAACTAGACCTTTATCCATACCAACAATATGTGCCAATATGAGATGTAAATGGCTTAGTAGCTCTATATTCTTAACAATGATATTGCCTCATATTTTAAAATAGTGGCATTGACATACATTACCACATAATTCATATATATTTACATATCTAACACCTAAACGTTCATATTTACAAGCATACAAATCAAATCTATAACTTTACATGAAACTATCACCATCGTTATCTTTTTAAATGTGAAATACATCTTTTCATGCATAGATCATAGGATTGAGGGTATAGGGTTTAGTGTTTATGGTTTAAGGTTTTAAGGTTTAGGTTTAAGAGTTTCAAGTTTATGGTTTAGATTATTGGATTTTAGGATTTAAATATTTAGGGTTTAGGATTTTGAGTTTAGGTTTTAGGGTTTAGGGTTTGAGGGTCATGGATTTAGGGGTATATCGTTTAGGGATTAGGTTCTTAGGATTAATGGCTTATGGTTTTGGGCTTAAGGTTGAAGGTTAAAGGGTTTAGGGTTTTAGGTTAAGGGTAATGAGTTTAGGGTTTTGGATTTTGAAGGTTTATTTTGTGTATTTACATAGGGTTACATACATAACACATAATTCTTTTATATGTACATAGCTAACCCCAAAATTTTGATATTTACATGTATACCAATCAAATCTTTAATATCACATAAAAGTGTCACTCCCACTAACTCTTTAAAATGAAATACACCTCTTCCTGCATAAGTTTATACCATCAAGGCGCTGTAAATGTTAATATCAAGCTTTAGATGTTAGGCATGTAAACACATAAGAATTGTGTGGTATGCATATAAATTTTCCTTTTTTAGTTATAATAATTTATTTTTATTGCCTTTACAGGTACTACTCCATGTATGGGCATGTTGAGAAGCTGGCTGAAGAGATAAAGAAAGGCGCCGCCTCTGTTGAAGGAGTTGAAGCAAAGCTGTGGCAGGTAAAATGTTCGGCGTATAAACCAACTCTGCACGCTTAAGATGGGAGCTGAAACAAGAACTTCACATTTACTTCACTCATGTATGAAGCATTCGAAAATAAGAAAAATGTCAAGATGATCCCTTGACTATATACACGGGTCCATTTTAATCCTAGAGTTTTAAAAGTCTCAGTTTAGTCCCTACATTTCTTTTAATATGAGTTTGAGTGATCCCCAATGACGATTTTTTAACCCCATTAGCAAATTTATAAAAGTATGGGACTAAAATGACCCCCTGTGAATAGTCAAGTGACACTTTATCAAATGGGTTTCCATGTAAAAAGGTTTTGTGCTTTTATGTAAATTTGTACGACGATTTAATCAATGTCATTTGTCTGATCAAATCAGTTGTGTTCAAGGAAATTTACATACATAGCACAGAAGTCTTATGGATTTACATATCTCACATCTAAACTTCCATATATACATACATGACGCTTCGGTGCTCTAAATCCATGCATGAAAATATGTATTTCACTTTTAAAAATGGTCAAAATGCTATTTTTGATTTTTTTGATGTGAGATTAAAGATATGAGGGTTTTGTGCGTAAATATAAAAGTTTAGGTGTAAGATATGTAAGTACATTAGAATTAGTATATAAAAGGTTTACATACTAATTGGTTGTATATTATAAATACCATCCATTTCTTCTATGTTCGAGCGAAAATTATCATTTCTTTTCCGTAAACTTAAATTTCAATCTCAAATAAAAAGAACAGGTGCCCGAAACACTTCCCGACGAGGTACTTGTGAAGATGAGCGCTCCTCCTAAGAGCGATGTGCCGATCATCTCGCCAAACGAACTTTCCGAGGCTGATGGACTTCTCCTTGGTTTTCCGACGAGATTTGGCATGATGGCGGCTCAGTTCAAAGCTTTCCTCGACGCAACCGGCGGGCTCTGGAGAACTCAGCAGCTTGCAGGTAAGCCTGCAGGTATTTTCTACAGCACTGGATCTCAAGGTGGCGGACAAGAGACTACTGCGTAAGTCCTGTCCCAGTAGCTCTATTTATTTTATTTTTTTATTTTAATTTGATGTGTAAATCTCAGTTATGCTTAAAATCCAGTATTTCACATAACTTGAAGTTTTAATTTTCATAATTTATAGGGAAATTTACATAAATACCACACATTTCTTATGCATTTACATATTTAACACCCAAAGCTTGATACTTACGGTTATAATACCTTGGTGTCATAAATTTATGCATGAAAAGGTGTATTTCACCTTCAAGAAGATAGTGATGGTGGTATTTTTATGTGGCGTTACGGAGTTGAATGGTACGCATGTAAATTTGATGAATGTTTGGGTGTTAGATATGTAAATACATAAGAATTATGTGGTATTTTTGTAAATGCTTCTAATTTATATATGTATTATGTAATCCTGTTGGGTATTTATATTGCTATTTGTAGATTGACGGCGATTACTCAGCTTGTTCATCACGGAATGATCTTTGTCCCCATCGGCTATGCCTTCGGAGCCGGTATGTTTGAGATTGAGAAAGTGAAGGGAGGAAGTCCGTACGGTGCCGGCACATTAGCCGGCGATGGCTCGAGATCTCCAACAGAGCTTGAACTTGAGCAGGCTTTCCACCATGGTAAATACTTCGCAGCCATTGCTAAGAAGCTCAAGGGATCCTCCTGATCAGATAATAACAGAAGTTCAGTTGGTGAATTTCTAATCAGAATATAATATATACCTTCTATATATGTAACTGGTGTTATGTGTTTGTGTGGGTTTATGATTCTTATTGCCAGTGAGCTTTGATTATATAGTGCCACATTCCCAACTTGTTGGTTGGCATTTGTAAGTCAGTTGTAAGTCTTCTCAGGTTCGCTGGTTCGTATCCCCGTTTGGCTAGTGTGGTCGTATGGAGGGTGGTAATCTGAGTGATTTGGCACATTAGGGGTGATTGGGGGCTCGTCTAATACCACCCTCCGGCCATTCATTTGAATATATTTTCATGTATACATAGATGTTTAGGGTTTAGTGTTTTCCTTGTGATGTGAGTTGTGTTGTTTGGTTTTTATGTGTGTATAAACATTTTTTTTCTTTATTTAATATTGCAAAAATAATTTGTTTATTGTGATGTTTTGACATTTTGAATCCTCTATTGTGTATGATATGGTGCTCGAAGTTTAATTTAAAATTCATATATATTAAATCAAATTAAATTTTAATTTGTTGTAGATAAAATAAGATAAATTTATCCATTTAGTTGTTCATATCTTTGATATATATACTTATTTTAATTATTTATTTAATAGCTCATTCATTTATAAGCTCGATAAAATTCGATTGCTTAAAAAATTATATAGGTCAAATATATTACTCATTATTTAGTTTGATAAGCCTTATTTGGTTAGAAAATAAATATCATAGTAATATTAGTTATAATTTGTTAAATAAATATTATTTGGATAGAATTAAATAGCTTCATTAAACTTATTCATTAATTTATTTGATAATGACTTCATCATCATCATATGAAACCGTTGAAAGATCTCGAAAATACTAATGATTATATTTCATATTTGTTATAACTCTATATTTATAGTGTTATAAATTATATGAGAGATCTTGGAAATCTCTATCTATTTCTCTCCTTAATTAGAGAAATTAGCTGTCTTTTATATTTTGTTATTATTCATTTACTTTTCTACTGCATTATGTTTTTATTGTTTTCCTTACCAGTAAGTCCTGTAATGGGTATCTATACCCCTCCTTACATCAATAAAATCAAGTGATTCAAAAGTATTTCTCATTTTTCTAAATTTCAACAAAATAAGAAATAAACTCAAACAAGAACTAAACTTAAACATAAACACAAAGCTCAATTAGAACTTATGCACGATAATTACTCAAAATCAGAATTTTTAATGATTGTGTTCAAAATCATTAAAAGGTGATTAATGTGTGTAAATAAATAAATAATTACAAAAAAAGACTGAATTTGACAAAAAGGTAAGACCTTTCCCATCCAAAAAAAAAAAAAAAAAAAAAAATAACAAGCCAACAACTACAACTACATGTAAAACCTAGCACAAATTGTATATTTGAATCAATTCATAGAGTGAGCAGGCAAGATTGGCACAATTAAATTCAAAATCTTGAGATTTAATGGCTGTTTAGCCCACTAAACATAATGCATAATCTATTGGGGGGTTCCAGGGTAATTTTGAGAGGCCTTCTTTCATTAAATTTAAGGAAGATTTACCTGCACACCACCCAATTCCTATGTAATTACATATCTTACTCATAAACTGCAGTTTTTACATATATACCATCTTATTTATTCATTAAAATTTATATATTTCACTTTTTAAAGGTTAAAATGATGATATTTTTGAGAGGAATTGGGTTGTATGTATGTAAATGCCCATAAATTTAGATTAAAATATCCTTTATTACTTTGTTAGACCATTAATTGAAGGAAGATTTGCATATATACCACTCAATTCCTATGTATTTACATATCTAATTTCTATACTTCAATTTTTATGTATATGCCACTTTTTTATGTATTAAATGGTGGTATTTTTTGATGTGAAAGGAAATATTTGGGTGGTAAAAATGCAAAAAAAGTGCAATTTAAGTGTTAGATATGTAAATACATATGAATTGGGGGGGTATGTTGCATAAATAAAATAAAAGTTAAGGAGCCAATAACAAAAAGTATGGACATAACTGTCATTTCCACTAAATTTCATTTCTTTTTTGCAAAAATGCTTATTAATTTAAGCCCTCCATTAGTCAGCAGCATCCTTTGATCACATTGATTAATGATATTTTTGTAGAAGAGCCAACACGTAGTCTTTGATTCTTATTTAAAATAATCTTCAATGCTTATCCTTCAAACTTTAATTTATATGAAGGAGTTTCTACTTGAAATGGGACACATAGCATTAAGGGATAAACGAGCCGAACACGAGTGAGCCCAGGCTCAGCTCGTGTTTGGCTTGTTAAAAAATATCAATGTTCATATTCGAATAGTTTATATTTCAAACTTAAAAAGTGTATTCGTGTTCGGCTTGTTTGCTAAGCGAGCCCGACACGAGCTGTTCGGGAACAAAGTAGTTTTGACAACCCAAATCACGCAGTCGTATGATGTTAAGGGTAGGGGCACGATTTAAATCTTACTGTTTATATTAAATCATCATTTAAATATAACTTATTATATTTTTATTATATTTTTTAATTAATAATTTTAATTGATTATAAATCTTTGTAGCTTAGTATTCAATGAGTTGTTCTTTAATTTATATATATATATATATATAATGATGAGTAGTATTTCTAGTCAAAACAAGCAAAACACAAACAAAAAAATCATTGTTCGTGTTTTGCTCGTTTCTATATCGAGTACAAAAATAATGTTTATGTTCGGCTTGTTAACCTAGCAAACAAATTTGACACGAACTTCTTAACGAGCTAAACACGAGCTGTTCATGAGCAACAAACTGTTTTGTCAGCCCTACATAACATACTACCATACTTCTTTTAGATGATAGATTACATAATACATATATGTGGAACATTTACATGCATACCACGTAATTCCTATGTATTTAAATATCAAATATCTAATTATTATTTTTACATTAACGTCACAAACATCTTTCATTTCACATAAGTAATACCACCATTTTAACTTTTGAAAAGTGAAATATAAAATTTCATGCATAACTAAAATGCCATATATGTAAAAGCTGAACTCAGAAATGTAAATACATCAGATTGATTTAGTAGTGCATATGTAAATCTTCCTATTCATATAAAGTGTCAAAATAGTCTCTGATAATTTATATGAGGTCATTTTGTCCCAGAGTTTATAGAAATATTAAAATAGTACACAGAGTCTTTAAGTCTCCATGAAAGACTAATATAAGGTCATTTTTAGTCAAAGAGTTTATAGAAGTGTTAAAATAGTACCCAAAGTCTTTAAATTTGAGTTGAAATAGTCTCCATGTAGCACTGTTGGAGCTCAACTTTAAAATAACATAACATTATTTTGATACTTCTATAAACTACAGGGCTAAAACAACTCATAACTCCATACACACACACAGAGAGAGAGAGAGAGAGAGAGAGAGAGAGAGAGAGAGAGAGAGAGAGAGAGAGAGAGAGAGAGAGCGCGAGAGAGAGAGAATCTAACTTCCACTGATATATTCAAAAACAAATAAAAAAACCAAAAGTTAGGAAGCCTTCATAAAAAGGTTCACCACTTGCTATTATTCAAGAATATAATTATTACTTAGTGAGATTTGAAATGCTGGTCTTTTCTTTTTTTTATTAGGGAAGAATGTCAAAAAAACTAAAGAAAGCTATATAATTAAAGAAGGTTTATAAGTCCCCTTTTTCAGAAGCATCAAATAGTGTCAGAACAATCATGTTTTTTTATCAATTTAACCTCCAAATACAATTAAACAATTATAAATCTACCCTTTGTCAAATAAAAGAACTATATAAAGCATAAAAATTTAGCACCTTCTCCTACCTTAAATTACTTAACCAAAATACAATTATGATGTCCTCTCAAAGCTCCATTTTTTTTTCTTCTGTCAGCCCCACAACAAAACTTATAATTACATTTCCTTATCAAGTATTGTCATTTACCTCCCTTTTCTTCCTTGCCTTCATTCTCATCTGTCTCTCTCGCCCTTTACCTTTTCCTTTCCAGACTTGTAAAAGAGACTTTCAATTATAGGCTTTGCTTTCTTCTTCCTTTCTCTTCAAATTTTAGCTAGGACATATTTGTAACACTTTTTTCTCCTCAACTCCAATGGTTTAAGGATAAAAAAAGACTTTTTTTTTTTATTTTAATGTGTAATATGAAAGTTTCTTTCCTGAATGCTCTTACAAAGTAGTTATGTAGGATGGGAGTTTTGGTTTTTCTTTTCTTACTTCATCTCCTTACAAAGTTCATCTTCCTCAAAACCCTAATTAACAGTCTATCCAGCTTTCTTCATCATCTGTAGGCTCCTCCAAAAGTTGGAGTCCAAAAATCAGCATTAGTTTCAGTGGCCACAGGATAAGTGCTTGAAATGGGAACCAAACATAGTCCTCGGCTTCTTAGATCTTGCTTTTGCCACTCACCTTCCTCGAACTTTTCTGAGCTCTGAAAAAAAAATGAAATAATAATAATAACAATTACTAGCTCCTCATTAGAAAATATTTGTAAATAATTACTAGTTTAAATGAGTTTGTTCGTATTCGATTTGCTTGAACTTTTGTGTGTTCGTGTTAGACTATTGTTTGAAATTATTAATTCGTGAATGATGTTGCGTTCGAAAAGTTAGAATTTAAAGTGTGCATGAACCATAAAATTAGACCAACTTTTAAACATCAAGAATTTGTAATCTTCTAACATGTATTTTGCAGGGTTGTAATTTCAAATACTTAAGGGTTTAAGTGGGATAACTTTGATTTTTTGTATTTTTTTATTGTAAAATATTTTTATTTAATGCATTTCTTGCATGCCTTTATTTTTTTATTTTAGAAACAAATCAAACCGATTTTAAAAACTATCAATACACATAACAATTATTAATTCTAACAAAATTTATCTTATTGTTTATGTAGCATTGTATGAATGCTAATGAATAATTATCTTCCACTCAACCAATTTTTTAGGATCTTATTATTTAAGTCACCCCAAATGCAAAATTTTCAGTTTATACAAACTTCATATTTCAAATTCATGGGAATGGGGTATTTTAGCATCATAAATTTGCATATATAACAAAATTTTAATACAATCATATGTATTTATGTTAGATTAAATACGTCACAATTAGGATTTACATATTGTTCAATAAATTATTGATTTTGACTAGTTAAATCCTTCTCAAGTTAAAGTTTGCTACCATTTAGTCAACCCAAATTGTATCACAAATGGGTTGCTAACAAATAACTCTAAGTTTCCTCTTAGTTCTAAGCATTTGAACTCAACAAAGAGAAAACACTAAATAAAACTATTCTTAAAGAACTCATATCATCAACGCACTTGGGGCATTGACCAACGGACTAGAAATTCTTGTTAGAAAAAACTACCACAACAATTAGCCCACAGAATTTTTTGAACTAGAAACCAACTTCAAACCTAACTGGCTAAATACGTATATGTTCCAACCATTCTATAACATAGACATTGGTTGTAATGACCAACAAATGGGGGCCATTGGTCAAGCATAAGAATATGAAAAAAAATTTATTGAAAATATTGCAAAAAATATGATAATATTTTTTACAAAATCACTTTCTTTTTGAATTTTATTAGTAAAAATTAATTAATAGTTTTTCATAGATTCGTTAAAAAATGACTATTTGAAACATTCATTTGATACCTAGTATATTTTCTTATTTTTGCACATTAAGAATGGTTCATTTTCTTATAAAGATTTTCCTACCTTCACGTGAATAACTTTGGATTCATTATGCACTTTGATGAAGTTAGTGTGTATTATATCAAAAAGAAGCAATAAAAATATATAGATTGTCTTGAAGATCATCAAAGATCTTTCTTAATGAGTAAATCAATAACAATGTCACTCTAAAAATAGTAATATATGTAGAACCATTTGATGAAGATGATTTAATATCTATTTGATTGTTTTATTGTAAGATGTCCTGCATGGTTCTTTCTATTGCACAAAAAATACAATTATGTCCATTTTGTGGTGACATTACTTGGCTTTGAGAGCTATTGCTCTAGCTTTATTTAAAGATGATGAAAGTCATCTCTTAGAGGATGGTATTTTTGAGACTTTGTCCCTTATCGATCATATAAGAATAATGTTCAATAAATAAAAACTTTTCAATCTAGACTAAGGAGAGTAGACGTTGTAAAAGTTGAAGATGGAAATGTTGAATATATATAAAGAAAGGTTGAACCACATTGATTAAGAGCAATGCAATAATTGATGATTTATCTTTTCATTCAGATCCCTGTTCAAAACTATAGAATGTTATTTACTACTTTCAAGGAAGTGCTAGTATGGTTTTTCTGTTGTCTACCTTTGTTTAGAAAGCATGATATTCTTCGTTGATGTTACATCCTAATTTATGATTACTCGATTTGCTAGTACTCAAAGTGTTTGAGTTTTCTTGAAATTTAGAAAGGAGAAATGACAGAATTTAGAAGATTTACCCTACTTGCTAATTTTCAGTAATTTTTTAAAAATTATTTGTAATGTATTACTTGTAATGAATTGAACACATATATGTTGGTGAAGCTAGCCAATCAATAAAAAATTGGCCAAGTTGCTTGAACTTTGGTTATGACCATCCCATATGAGTTATAATACCAAGCTATTAAAAGCAAACTTCATCATGTAAGTTCAATGTTAAAGTTGAATCTCAAAATATTTCATTGTTCAAAAAGTTGATGGGAAGTGGGGGATGTGTATTGATTTTACAAATCTCATTTAAGATTGTTCTAATAATACATACCAATATTTTCAAATTAAAGCTTTTATCAACCGATCTATAATCAACGTAATTTATAGTAATGATTTTTTTTTATGCTTTCTCAAGCTATCACTAATAAATCATGTTATAATTTTATGTCATTCGAACTGAAAAGTATTGGAGTAGATTATAAATAAGTAATATAAAAATTTTGAAAGAATATATATTGAAACATTGATCTACATAAATAAATTACTCATGATTAGCAATAATTATACATAATATATCATAGACCATAAAAGAAATGTTTACTACATTTAGCATATAATTTGATTTACTCAAATTCATCTTAAGGTAGATTCAATGAACTTTTAATATTCCATCTCACTTTGAATGCATGAGAATGAATTGTAATAAAGTCAAAGTAATTATAGAGATATCATCCCAAGATCAATTAAAGGATAGATGAGAAGGTAGTTAGCATAGTATAAATACATTAAGGAGATAGCAAAAAGAAATTCTCTGTGATGCTAAATTGAGAAATGACACAAAAAAGGATTGTGGATAAATCAAGTTTGTGATGACGTTTTGAAGTCTGTCATATCTCATAATAATAAAAAAAAAAAACTAAAAATCTTACCAAAAAACTTTATAATATTCTTATAAAATCTCTCTCTTTGAGTTAAATTCAATAGTTCATTATAGATTTCCCTTCTTTGTTGAAAGTAGCTAGTTGGTTTTTTAATAAACCAAACCTCTATGTGATTCATTTGAGACCTTACCTCTCTCTCTTCTTCAAATACATTGTTCATGACTTCATTTCTCTAGCAAAGATTTTAGATTCTTCAAAGTCAACCTTGAATCTAGTACTATTATTGATAAAATTTCTTATAGAAGGGCAATAAACTCATTACAAAATGAATTATTATAAGAAATTCCAATATTCTAGAAGAGCATTTTTTTCTTAAAAGAACGACAATTAGTCATGTTTATGTATAATAGATTCTATACTTCGAAGAGAAACCTATTTACCTGCTGTTGTTGTTGCATGGGATGGCCATTCTTCAAGTATGGAGTGCTCAAGACCTAAAACCATGCACATGAATTTAATTTTTTTAGATTTCATAAGATTACACCCTTTATCTATCTATAGCTTAATTGCATTCTTCTTCTTGAAGAATTGACTTACACTAACTTGATCATGAAGGAATTTGATGTATTCAATGGCCTCGTGAAGCACTGATGCAGTATCAGTCTGAAAGGAAATGAAATAAGTAAAATATAATGAATTTTTTAACTCTGAAAAAATCAATCATAAGTACTAATATTTTGCAGTCTTAAAATAGATTTTTAGAATTTGCAAAATCAAAATTTTAATCAAAACATAAATATTACAATGCAAAACTTATGCTTTAATGCTGATTAATTTGATAGATGATCTTTAAATATATATAAGAAAATGATAATGTATTGAAATGTTGCTTTAATTAGATAAAATTTAACTATCCTATATATTTATTTTAAAATAACTTACTAAATCTCAAGGGTTAAGTATTAGTTCTATCTTTGATAATTTACTTTTTTTCTGCCATCCTTACTTTATTTTTGTTCTCAGTAAAAAATAAAGTAAAACATTAAAAATTTCTAATTTTTTAAATTTATTTTGAGTGAAGTAAAACACAAATAAATGAATATATCTGTGATAGGGTTGGGGTAGCTCCTGTGACGGACAAAATAAGAGAAAGTCGTCTTAGATGGATTGGCCACATTAAACGTCGACCATCTGATGATCCGATTAAGAGAGTAGATGTTTTAAATTCGACTTGTGTTAAGAAAGGCAGAGGCAAGCCTAGGAAGACTTGGGCTTATTGTATAAAAAATGATCTTAATTTACTAGAACTAAATGAAAATATGACTCTAAATAGGACACAATGGAGAAAAATGATTCATGCAGCCGACCCCACGCAGTGGGATTAATGTTTTGTTGTTGTTGTTATATAAAATGAATAAATAATTAATAATGTATCATATTTTCATTATATTAAACTAATGATATATTTAAAAAAAATTATCATGAGCCAAATTTTCTCCTCAGTTGTGCCCCAATTCAAAACATCAAAGCTTGAATTTTTTTATTTTTTTTTAATATTCTGATCTAAAATTTGAGGTATATATGCAAATATATCTTCAACATTACAGCTAATTTGAGTAAAAATAAAATAAAATAAAGAAATATATACCTTTCCAAAAGGCGAAACCAACTGCTGTAGAGCTGTGATTCTGTCCCCTAATTTCTCTTTCCTCACCTTCAAACATGATAATTAATCAAAAAATATATTAAATTTCATGCCTTTTAAATTTTCACAAGACGAAAGAATATTACAAAATAATAAAAAATTGAAATTTCATGACCATACTTTGAAAGTTGGCAATGTCGAAGCTGTCTCAGCTCGAATTTTTTTCAGTGCAGGCTCACTGCTGCTCTTCTTCTCTTGCCCTCCTTCCAAGCCCTGTATAAACCATTTAAAACAAAAAATATATATATATATAAAAGAGCTTACTTTCCTCATAGTATGAACAATTCAGCACAGAATACAGATAAAAAAACATTAAAATTCAATCAAAATTGCAAATTTCATTCAAAGTTCTCACCTTTATGGGCAGATCAAAAGGCTGAGAGAAAGAGGAAGCATTCCAAAAAGGGGTATTATTTGTGAACTGCAAGTGATTAACCATGGCAGATTGGTGCTTCTGTTGAATGAACTGAGACTGCTGATAATGAAACATTTGTTGGCTATCAAATAGAGATTGTTCATGTCTTGAATCGTTCTCCAGAAATCCTTGCATGATTGAAGAAGTAGAAGAAGTGGAGGAAACTAGAGGGAAACCACTGCCAGAAATTGATGAGTTATCGAAGAAAAATGGCTGATTTATATGTTTGAGTTGCACAGGACTGGATGAAGAAGATTCATGAGCTGCAGAAAAAACTGATCTTGAATTCAAATCCTCCTGAAGCATGGCTTGAAAGCTACTTTCTCCCCTTCCACTACTGCTACTGCATAATCGCCCACAATTTTATAAGTTCATGTAGAATGAATTGGATGACAGAAGGAAGTAACTTACAGTAGGGTTTGATCCCAATCCATGGAGGGGGATGAGAGGCCGAAGCCGGAGAGTTGTAAGGTGGAGTCCTTGAGCTGGCGGGTTGCTGCGGCGCCAACCTGCCAAGCGAACGGGGCTCCGGTACCTTCAGGTATTGTGGTCGATGTTGCCGGTGAGGCGCCATCGTAGTCGTCGCTACTGCCGGCGTCAACGCGGCCTCTACTTCTTGATGTCTTCCACCAATTACTGGATTGGAAATCTTCAGCCATGGAGATAACCTTCTTTCTACCTCAACTAACTCCCTAGCTCTCTCTTGTGGTGCCCTTAATTTTTTTTTTCAATGGTGGGTTGTCTTCTCTGGTTTGCTTCTTCTTCCTGGACTTGACTGCTTTTGTCTGTGTGGTCTGGTTTTGTTTGCTTTTGGATGTGGTGCCATAGAAAGGATTCGGATATATATATATATATATATATAATATATATATGTATAGATGTAACTTTAATTTTCATGATGTTATGAAGAAAAAGGAGCAAACGATATTGAGAAAAAGCAAAATGTGTAATTACTAGTTTGGTAAGATGTGAATCATGAGTTAATTTGAAGTTCAAACTTTATGATCATTTTGGGAGATGAAGGTTGTGCATATGCTTACTATCTTGTATGCAAAGGGAAATGATAATCTATACTTTTATTTTATTTTTTAATGAATTCTTAGCTACTTGTAATGTAGGCCGGTCATTGCTTTCATTAAGGTCATGATTGGTGAACAGTATTTGTTATTATTTTGGTTTATTTTGAGGAAGGGGTTGTTATTTTTTGAAAATTTGTTGAATATTATCGTGATTAGAAACTCTTTTTTAGTAGAATACTTCATCCTTTCTGACCTGAAGTACTTGATGGTACCAATGGTGGGTCAAGCTAATCAAACTCATTTGGTTTAATTTGCCCGGTGGAGGCCATGGTTTGATAGTGAAATTTAATTTGCCACATGCAAAGCAATTGATACTGAGAGTTATTGACTCCTAATTTAGTCGTCAACTAACTCATTGAGCCAAGAGACAACAATCAAACTTGGGGTCATGATGTGTGGTTTAGTCTGTAAATTCTCTCTTATTGATGGTATACGAAAATAATACAATTGTAATAATAAATTTAATATTTGGAATTTGTTTAATATAAACTCATGTAAAGCATTTGGTACAAACTTTGACTTGTCACTAAAAAACAATGACACATCATGATCAAAATATATAAAAATATAAAAATATCCAACAATTTCTTAATCAAAGCTCCCCTACCATAGTCACTCTACTTGATGGCTGATATGCCTATAATTGTTGGCTTCCCTTTCCTCCACACGAAAGTTTTTCCTATCTTGGGTTGGCCTGAGTAAAAACCCTGCAAAACAATAACTATGAAAGTTATGTCATTTGTTAGTAAGACAAAAATGATGAGGTATATATGCTTAGAAAGAGAGCAAGAAAGCAATGAAACTTGGTAACATTTAGGCTCTTCAACCTCAAATAATATGATGATAAAAAATAATCGTGGCAACATTAAAGCCCTACACACAAATATGAAATCAACACACACAATTTATAATTTATTTATTGTCCGTTGCTGTCTCATGAAATTTTGTCTTAATCCCCCTTAATCCCTAATTACAATCCTAGCGCTCTTATGCAGTTGGCAATTATCATACTATAGAACTCTACTAAGCCACCCTTATCATTGATTGTAAATAAAAAAGTAATATTATTATCTGTGATCTAAAATAGTAAAATGTTATCGTTCTCTTGAGATAACTTTGTGAGATGCTGCTTTACCAAATGAAATCAAATTCATACGTTGATGCTGACTGCAATTGAATGAGACTTTACTCTTTACAAATGAGGACAAATGAGGCCTAAGACTTCTATTAAAAGTTAAATATAATTACCCATAAAACCCAATGTTAATAGTAAAAAGGCTGGACCCAGAAGGCGGTTAACTTCACCGGAAGGTAACCACAATCATAATATCTTTCCCTTTGGATGCCACGTCATCAGTGCCGTCCAGAATAATTCTCCGGAAAACGACGCTGACATATTCTGCAACTTAAAATGACATAAATACCCCTCTGACCCTCGTATTTTCGGAGCGCACTAAAAGCCCACTGTGGGCCAGATGAAAGGCGATAGATCAGGACCGTCCATCTGATTGACCTGGTTCAAAAAGAATGATATTGACCGCTGAGCAGAGGCGGATTATGAAAGGTTTAGATGAGGATGAAACTATTTACAAAATCAACTGTGTCGCAAAATGTGAAATTTACAGATACGTCCGAAAATTTGGGAGGTTAAAGTTTGACCTCTCAACCTGAAAAGTCAATTCACGGGTCAATTCGATTCAGACCCATCCAGGCGCAAGGTCAACACAATTTGAAGATACTGGTGAAGAAATCTGCGAGAAGAAGTTTTAATTAATTGTTAGGTGGATCCTTTGAAAGAGAAATCCACTTCTGAAGTAAATCATGGTGTTATTGAAAGTCAACCTGTCCATATCTACATCTTTGGGGATTCATCTCTATATCTTGTACTTACCACGTTGAGGTTTTCTATAAAGTATTTACATATATAATGTTGAAAAAGAGCATATATATATATATATATATATATATATATATATATATATATATATGAAAATCACAATTCCTTTAAAGTATTTACATATATAGCACCTAATCTTTGTTCTGTACATTTATACCGTTCAAATCTTTCATGTCACATATCAAATACGATTACTTTTACCTTTAGAAAATGAGTACTTTTTTTCAAGCATTTATATGGTGTTATTTAGGTAAAAATTGAAATTTTAGGTGTAATATATATATATGTGTAAATACATAAGAGTTGAGCGGTATGTATATAAATCTTGCTATACATTTATATGAAGATTTATATACATACTGTTGAGAAAATAGAGCGAAGAAAAATAAGAATTGACACAAATCCAGAAGAACATAAAATTTAACGAGGTTTGCAAAGATGTCTACGTTGTTGGGAGCAGAGCGGCGAATTCCTTTCAATATTCATAAAAAAAGATTACAGAAATCAGGGATAACACCTAGTGTTACATGCATGCCTATTTATAACCCTGGAAAACCCTGAAGTACAATATCTAATTACCAAATTACACCTGTACCTCACCCCCAGCCAACATAAGAAAACCCCCCTGATTTGGACAGAATATTCCGCTTCGCTCCGCTCCAGAATCCGTCCCTTTATTGTATATGAGCCATATCAAACAAATCTCCACCTTGGCGAATATCCAACCCTATAGAAAAAATACGTCATGGAGTTTCTTACATATTATTTTGTGGTTGTTTCTTTATATATATGAGTGGGTCAAGTAACACGTTGATTATTTCATCTTATATCAATCATCATTCATAAGTCGCCAGCCTAAATCAAGTCAACCAGCCTAATAGTGTCATCCATGATCAAAGATTATGCAAACTGTGGCACTACTAAGGTCAACAATGTGGTTGACTGGCAACTATGACTTAATAAGATTCAAATTATAGCCCGAAGAAGCTACATGAGAACGTAATCTATTCAAAACCTACAAATTAATAATAAATTAGTTGATATTCGCCACAAGCTCGATATTTTTCCTAATTAGCAATCCAAAATATTTTTTTAAAAGTCAAATATTATAGGATGGTGACGTCATGCTTACAAAGCGAATTAGGTCAACGTGGGTCCCACAATGGCGTGCGCGCGTGCTAGGCCCGTGGGCCTCTGTCGTCCTCGCTACAAGTCAAAAGCCGGAAAGCGACGTTGTTCTCCGCGTTATTCCCCTCTCTCCTCTATTTTAATTTTCTTAAATTATTTCCTCACATTTCACTTGGATGAAAATAATTCTTATAAGAAATTAAATTAATTATAAATAGAGCATATAAATAGTGAATTAATTTACTAAAAATCAACTTTATTTTAAATTCTAAAAATTATTTTAAAATCATATAAATGATGACTTTATCTTCACATGTAAGAAAATAAAAATAAATAATAATAATATATATATTTTATTTGAGTAAAGTGTCAGAATAATTCATGACTATTTTAAAATTGTGTTATAATAGTCCTCAATGAGGATTATCTCAATTCTAATCTTGAAAGTTCGTGAATTATTTTGACAATTCCTTAAGTTTTCAGTCGAAACTGCTCAATGTAAATAATCTGGACTATTTTGGCACTGTATAATTTTTCACATTCAAACTATTAAATGAGCTCTCAATATTAAAGAACGACCCTTCTATGCTCTATGTACACCACTTTAAGGTTTTATAAAAAAATTTATATAGAAATAAAATCACATCTCACTTTTAAAATCTCTCTCTCTCTCTCTCTCTCTCTCTCTCTCTCTCTCTCTCTCTCCATCACTTTCGATGCTACACTCAATGATGGAGTTAGGTATGGCTTAAAATAAACATGAGAAGCAAGGCTCAATACTATTATATGAATTATTATATCTAATTAATATAAAATTTAAGCCTATGTACTATTGAGTTGGAGAATTTATTAATGTGCCAAACTCTAAAATCACATTACTATGAGTGAGTAAGACATTTGAGTTGGAGAATCTATTCATCAATCATTCTCCTTTTCACATTTACATGATTCCTACAATAAGCCTAAAATTGTGCAAAATATTTGTTCTTCATCATCATCATCATCATGACACATATGTAGGAATATTCAAACCCATGTGATTTGATGTAAACACTAAAGATGCAAAGCATGTATGGTTCTATGGTGAAATAATTTTTAGAAAGATTAAGAAAAAGTTAGTAAATCATCAATAGGTTCTTGGCTATATTGTAGATATATTATGTCAATTTATATAAATAATATTGGTATGATGAATTGAATTTGATGATTCAATGCCATATCATTGTTGTAGTAGTTTAAACGTTTAATTCAAGATGTAATTTTTATAAATATGTTCCTATGATAAACTTGATGGAACTTTATTCATATAGTTAATAATTGCCTTACATTAAAAAAAAAAAGACTGTGAGAGTAGAAATAATAATAGGTTTATAGTTTTACAAGCAAAAATCAGTCATAATCTCTTCTACAAATAAAAATGGGCCAGAGAACCCTGATAAAAACAAAAATTACTAGTTTACCTCTTATGCAAACAAATCTTTTAATACAACACCATCAACATACATACTAATAGTTATCAAAATTTTTATTTATATTAAAAAAAATAATATTTGATCAACTATAAAATTTATAGTTTCCTTAAATAATTTAATATGAAAAGTCACATTTTTAACACAAATTATATATGCAAAAAAAGTGGTGTAGAGCTATGGCTAAAACAAGGAGAGTAGATGTTTGACCTTTCTTGAACCACTAGTCTTTTCTT